ATCCATCGTTTTGATTATTTAGCCGAAATATACCATACACTTATTGATTGAAACTCTGAGTGATTCCACTATTCATGGATCTAACAATCACAAGAAACCGATCAACTACTGCAATAAATGTCATAAAATGAAAAGTAAATCGAAGATATTAATATTAAACGTGTTTCCTTCTTGCGATAATTTTCTTACCAGATTATCAATTCTAGTTTTTAGAGCGTAGAATGTAGTACAAAATATTACACACATGATCGATCTACAGCCACTAGTTATAATATAATGCAAAACATTAGATCTTATTTTTTGGAACAGAGATTCTAAAGAGCACTAATGAACTCCGTTATAACGGCTATACTTTAGGAATATTTAGCATGAATTCAATAATTTTTCAAGTGCACTAAATTATGATAAAAGAATTTTCTCTTGTTAGAATCATCTTTAGACGTGACGTATAAATCTTGATTGATTAAATTTAAAAAAATCAAAAAAGAAACCATGTAAAGTAAGATTGTTGAACAAAGTAATACGGAAACTGTTAGCATTTTTACCATGCGTAACAAAGAAACCAACTCTTACGTCAGAAATTTATCAAAATTTTATACAACTAAAAGTCGATAATTACGTAACAAACTCATTATAAAACGCTTAAGATCAACTAGTCACGAAACAAAAGACTCCAAAGGCACTAAAAATAATTGCTTTCATAAGCAAAATTACTTCAGAATACTTTCATTATGACTCCTACACATTTCAGCTTGTCTGATTTAAATGCAAAAAGCAAACGTGAAACATAAAGTGGGAATTATTTTGTAATAATACATATTTCTTTAGGTAAATACTATGACAATATATAACGATTATATATGTAAGCCATAATATAGTAGTGCACGAAATCAGCATAATTATAAAGTAATATAATAGATACGAAAGACAGCATATTCTACAAACAAATTATAGAGCTGAAGTCAAACATGAATAAAACAAAGTAAAAATTAGGAATTACAGACTCAGACTATACGGTTTTGATACGAAAAATCAAACACCAAATAATCAAACAATTATATACACACGGCTCTTTCGTTACTAAGGAGTGTGTCTGTTTTACTTATTTCTAATGATTGTAAAAATTCATGGTAATCGCTGCTTGATACTTGTCCTTATTTGCAGGTTATATGCTATTCAGGCTAAATTTATGCAAATTTATCTCATTGATACACTTCTTGCAAAACTTAGTTTAAAGCTTTATTTTATTGTTTTTGTCTCTCTTCTCTGCAAGAAACGAATTAAATATCAGCAATGTCCTGCACATATAAATGATCTCTAAAACAGCAAGCACAAAACTTGAAAAAGTAATAACTTGCAAAAAATTTACTTGCTAAAAAGTTTACACAATTTAATTACAAAATTCCAAAAATTTTTGCCGATTTTAATATGCAAAAGTTTATGATTGTTAAAGGTAATTACTTAAGCCATAAGAAATATCAATAAAAAATCCCAAAAACTTCGGATTATCAATTTATTTTTTCCATGGCTGGTATTTTTTTGTTCGGTATTCTTTTCATGACTGATCGTTTATTTATTTATATTAGAAGTCTAAAGTTAGAATTCATTTATTATAGTTGTAAGTTGTCATTCTGATCGGTTATTGTACACTTTTTGTAATTTTGAACGACTACGGAAACAAATTTACAGATTGTATCAAGCGTTTGATAGCTTCACTTCTTTGAACTTTACTGAGTGCATGGCTAATACCGCCCTTTTACTTAGAAGCTAAAAAATTAAAGCCGAGATCCGAGATTGTTTAGTTACACTTAAATTTATGCAGAGGCTCATTATCTACTTATAGTGATCAAGTTAGCGTACTGCTGTACTTCTGAGAAACCTTGATTATTTTTGAAAATATGCAATTGCATGGAATAAGTAATTATTTTTAGTGTAAAAAGTTTTGCATTTTTATTCATCTTGGCTCTAACATCGCAGTCTGAAATATTCAGAGTAACAGATTAATAAAATGGAGAACAACCTTTAATGACTTCTAACTATTCAATATATTTCAGGTCACAATTAATGACCTCTTATGAAAAATTATTTAATATATTTTAAGTTATAATTGACGACTTGGTGTAGAACTTTTTAATAGCCTTTCAGACGAAAATGAAACAAATCTCTAAAACAGCAAGCACAAAATTAAATTGAAAAATGCATAAAGTAATTTGAGTTTTAGACTTGTATGCATTCAAGCAGTATTACTGCTTGATTCATACAATGCAGTGCACATATTAATTTTCAATGAGTTGAAATTATTTTTATGATATACTTCTTACAATATAGCAATACTTTGTTGTCACATCAATAAAAGCTTTTCCATAATATACAAGCCTGAAACGATGGCATTTCAAAAACACTTCAATTTTGTACTTTTTATTTTTGGTTAAAATTTTGAAGGATTTGTAATATTTCAACGATAAATTAAAATGTAAAGAAATTCGTATTTCATATTCTGATTTTGTACAAAATTTTTTTGCAACATGCATGTATGAATTTGAATACTTTTAAATTTATGCAGAAATTTTCGAAAGAGTAAATTTGTTTAATATTCTTATAATGCTTAACTACGCAAAGTGAACAGTTTCTTGATTTAATTTATTTATTCACATTATTTAGATTTTTTGAAAATTTTTGTATCGCAAGCAGTTAATGTCCCACCAAATTATGACTTAAATTGGTAAAACTATTCTGTGTTGTTGATTGATCTTTCACATCATTGTGTTCAGTTTCTGGTGAGCGTGTTTTTGATCGTCTTCCATGATCCCTGAAGAATCAGTTTACTGTGAAGCTATATCAGGAAGACATCATAAGTTGCAAAATTAAGGATACAATACGCTCATAATGTTTTAAAGAATGAAAAGATTAACTTCCACGTCCAAATTATATATAATCTTAATAAAAATACCTATAAATGCATAACATTGGCAAGAAAAACAAAAACTGTTCTTAAAAACTTACCTGCGAAAAGATAACTTAGAAATAGCAATACACGAATAATATCAACCAAATATAAGATAATAAAATAACGTGGAAATTTTTGAATTTTACATCATCTTATGATTATTGTAATATTAGGATGATCAGTATTTTATAGCAAACGACTATAGCAATATGAGAGTACTGCAGTACTTGGTACTCTTATGATATTATAATTTTGACTAAAAAAAATAAGAGAACGAACAATGATAATGGTAGTGATATAATTATTAATGACAATTGTAATTACCATGAATACAAATACTAAATACTATATTTTAATGTTCGAGAAATATATTTTAAAAAAATGAATCAGAATTTACCTATTCATTTTTCCGATACTGGAACCTTCCACAGCTGCGTTCAACCAAGAAGTCCGACATCCTTCATTTGAAGGTAATGGTTGTTTCTCTGTGGGTGCATCAGTCACGTTACCTGCCATGAAAATATGATAATTGTTCATTGCATATTCCGACTTTATGAGATTTAAATTGAAAAAATTTGTATGGTATTTGAGCTAAATTGTGTTCTATAATATTTAAAATACAAGCTATTTAACCCATTCTGTCACTGCAAACTCATTATATTAAAATAATTTAACACATATTTGAATTTTAAGATCTTTAATGAGACTGAAAAGAATCAAAATATAGGTTATTTAATTCATCATCAATTCAAGTTGCAAATTTTTCTAAATTACCAATCCTAAGTGATGAATTAGATTCCAGAGAGCATTTGCTACTAGCTTTGGACCCACTTCGACTACGATCTTCTAATCGACCATCTGCGGAAAAGAACGAAATCTTTCTTAGCCTGTGATTAAATGCATATTCTGAATCATATTTACATTTTCGTCAATTTTGCGTACATTTTCTTTGTTTTGATATTATTTTGCATCTTTATAAAAACAAATTATTAAATTATAAAAATAATAATTTTGGAAATTAATTTCGTGCACAGTAGAAATTAAACAACAAGATAAATAACAATAATGCAGTAATAATTAGCTGCTTTTAAAAATACTATATGTTCATTCCTTATCAAGGAAAATTGATATTTAAAGGAACTTATTTTGTAAATGGTTTGTGAGGAAGTCTATGTATATAATTAAATAATGTATTAATTATTTATTTACTTATTTATTTGTTTATTCTTTACTTTAAATTTATTTATGCGAG